TTCATATAAGTTCGCAAGCATTAATGTTAACCCCCACATTTTTGGGTTGTACTTGAACTTAAGAGTTCATCAACTCTTTCGTAGTTCAATTCATTTATCAAATAGACAATGTACATATCGAATGCTTCGTGAAAGTTTATTGACGTTTTGTCATTACAAAGAAAAAGGCTTAGTTGTGTATAATTGCTCAATTCCGGTGGAGTTGAGCAAACATGTTAGTGATGCACTATGAATGCTTAGTGTAAGAGTTTCTTGTTAAGTGTAGAATCCCACATCGAATAAAAATGTTAACATAAACCAACTTATAAATGATTGAGTTACTCCTCTTAATAATGTTGACCTTTTAAGATGGAAACTCAATTCTTAAACATGGTATCAGAGCCCATTAAACTCTAACGAGCAATTGAATCTAGTTAAGATTCCAAAAGTGAATATACGGATTTCAAGATTGTCTGCTCAAACGAGCCACCATTTTGCGGGGGCATGTTAAGGGATATAATCCCACATTGAATAAAAATGCAAACATAAATCAACTTATAAAGGATTGGATTACTCCTCTTAATAAGGTTGACATTTTAATATGGAAATCAGTTCTTAACATTTCTTCTTAAAGATTACCCATTCTTCATTTACTATTAATCTCTTATGTTCCAAGTGGTTGAATTCCATAGGAGCCAAGATTATAAATTGTTTGCCAGGTTTATTTGCACAAAGAAAAATAAAATAAGCAATTATACAAATAAAAAATGCCCAAGTGACTCCTCTTCAACCAGTAATAAAGAAAACGTCCTCTGTTTAAATACGCAAACACGAATACACAATCTGTTTTTAGAACACTACATTCTGGTATCGAATATATTACTATATGCAAAGGCAAGACTACTAAACATCTATGGACCATAGAGCACAATAAAACAATAGCATCACTTGCAGACTTAGTTGTCATCTGGTGTATTTGAGGTGGTCGAAGGTGCATTTGTTGATGACCCTGATCGAGATGTTGAGGATGAACTTCCACTGCTAGATTGTGAAGTGGAAGAGGAAAATAAAGTACTAAAAGGCCATGAAAGGGATACTGAAAAACGTCTTCTCTCTTCATTTGTTTCATCCCTGCCACCACGATTAAGGTTACCACTGTTGTTATCAGCGTTGATGATATTAATGTTGTTTCTTGACCCAGCTGAATCAAGCTTAGATTCATCGGAAGCTAACTGATATCTACAGACAGGACAAGAGCTGTGAAGCTTGAGCCATGGCAGAATACACCCAGTATGGAACTTGTGCTTACAAGGCATTTCTTTTGCTTCAGCCCCCATCTCAAAGTCTTCCAAACAAACGGAACACTGCAATGTCTCCTCAATTTTAATAGTAGGCAATGCTTCAACTTCTTCTTTCTTAGCAGGTGGTGTTCCATACCTGATAGGATCATTCTCTGCCAAATGCTGTAGCAATAATTCTAAACCAGGACCTATGTAATAATCACCCAGCGAGCCAATTGGTGCACGATTCAGGGAATCAATATTGGAGTCATGAGAACCTTGAACAACAATAGTTTGGTTAAATGGATTAATCAAAATCACACTCTCTCCATCCCTATTATCATCTCTATCTGTGTCTCTTAGATCCCTCTCAGAATTTCCCAACTCAGATAGCATTCTATTTCGAATGCCATGGAGGAGCTGGAGAATAGTAGCTGAACTTCTTCTCCTTGTTAGGGAATCTAATTCAGGATCCAGCTCTATATCCCCCTCACGTTGACTGTTATTGTTATCGTTGCCATCTTCGTAGTCGTCGCCATCATCATCATCCTCAAACTCCATGCGCCTGAATCGACTGCGATGGTGGTGACGAGGATTACTCATCATACCAAGCAGGATTGGCGCCCAGAGGGAGAGGGTACGGTCAGAATCAGACCCTCCATGTCCAAAATCATCATTTCTTGGCGCATTGGCAGATGCCATTTCTTCTATGAATCCACTTTGACAAATCGGGCAATTTATTGTCTCGAAATCCACTACAGGACTCACCGTCTGTAAACACGCGTGACACCAGTAAGCTGATGCCTCTGCTTCGTCCATTTTCTTATCTACAACAAACAACATTCTAACATCAGAAACTACACATTAAGTAATGTCAATGGCTAAGTGAAGTTCCTTCGGAATCTCCACCTTTACTGCTTTACATATCTTAAAAACGGAAAATACTCGGAAATAAAAAGATTTATAATTTCTGAACCCATCAACAGTATTACTAAAGAAACAAATCAAACAACAAAAGACATGATCAATCATTTTGAAAAAGAATAAAAGAAATGATCAGAAGCCATTTAATCAATCTTACGCTTCCTTGTTAAGAGCGAGAAAACAGAATAATCTAGAATTTGTTGGCAGATCAAAATAGAATGAAGGGTTGTGGATCCTGAAAAGGGTGGTGAAGAATGAATTATTTTGGTTTAAATATTATCAAGGGAAAGATGGATAGATCAGGAATATTAAACATGAGGTAATCAAAACAGAAGGATCTGGAAGGTTAAGCTCCACTAGAATTGTCCGACCAGAAACTCTCTCTCTCTCTCTCTCTTTCAAGACC